CAAAGTCTCCAGATGTGTCTCCTGCGATGTCTTTCTCCAGCTCCTTCTTAAACACTGCAGAGAAAAAAAGTAAACAAGCCTCTTTTAAATTCTTAAATTAAGCTTTATCAGCGTTTAAAATTCACTGGTGTCTGATGTCTTATCTCTTATTGAGCCTTTAAATTGTGAGTTAATGATCAAACATAATTTAATTTAGTATAACCACATTAGCTTTATTAATCACATTAGGTTTAGCTATAAAGGAAAAATTCAGAAATATAGAAGAATATACAGAGCTGGGATTTCATGAAAACTGAGAATCAAAAATCTGCCATAAAGAAAGTCTTTGCCTTCAATAATGAAACTGGAAGTGGATTTTCAGAAACACTCACTGTCTCTGTAAACCTTCTTGATCTCCATCAGTTCTTCGTTGTTTCTGGAGCAGACCATCTCAATGAGTGTTTCCTCATCAGTTCCCAGACCCTGTCCAAGAGAGAAGCTTACTATTTTCATTTTAACAAAAACTGAACAGACATCAGACGCAAATAAAAAAACATAACTTATAAGTCCAGATAAAGCCAAAGTCCCACTCACAGCCCAGTTAGACTGAATGTTTGGTTCAGTTAAGCTCAGTCTGATAAAAAATCAGAAGGCACTCAGGGAAGATGTAAAGATAAAGAAATGAAAACAACTGGCGCCCCCTGCTGGCTGTTTTTTCCACCGTGTCTGACCTTCATGGAGGCTTTGAGCTCAGCGGCATCGTACTGGGTGGGACTCTTCATCAGGCCCAACATCAGAGCCTCCAGAGAGCCAGAAAGGGCCGCCTTCAGGGCCGACGGCAGATCCTGAAAAGATCCCAACAAACAAACAAAAGGCTAAAGTTAAAGAAGCTACAGTTAGAAAACTAAAATAAGATAAGTTTAAGTTAGAGAAGCTAAAGTTAGAGAAGTTAAAGCTAAAAAAGCTAGTCAGAAAAGCTAAAGTTAAAAAAGCTAAAGTAAGAGAAGCTAAAGTTAGAAAAGCTAAAGTCAGAGAAGCTAAAGTTATAGAAGTTAATGTTAGAGAAGCTAAGGCTAAAAAAGCTACAGTCAAAAAAGCTAAAGTTAGAGAAGCTAAAGCTAGACAAGCAACAGTCAGAGAAGCTAAAGTTAGAGAAGTTAATGTTAGAAACCTTAAGGCTAAAAAAGCTAAAGTCAGAAAAGCCAAAGTTAGAAAAGCCAAAGTTAGAGATGCTAAAGTTGGGAAAGCTAAAGCTAGAGAAGCTAACGTTAGAAATGCTTCAGTCAGAATAGCTAAAGTCAAAAGAGCCAAGGTAAAAAAAGCTTAAATGAAAGAATCCAAAGTTATAACAGCTAAAGTTAGAAAATCTAGTTAGAAAAGCCAAAGTTAGAGAAGATAAGTCAGAAAAACTAAAGCTAAAGTTTGAGAAACTAAAGTTGGGAAAGCTATAGCTAAAGTTACAGAAGCTGAAGTTAGAGAAGTTAAAGTTGGAGAGGCTAAAGTTGGGTAAGCTAAAGCTAAGGTTAGAATGTCAACCCTGCATCTTTTAGCTTGTGACCTCCCTGAAATGTATCTGTCTCCATCTCTGTGATCAGTTTCAACTTTGCTGGCTGTAATAATGGGATGGAACTCGTCAGTGTCTGAAAAAGCTTTATCTTCTTTCACCTTTTTGGCGATTCGCTCATATTCAAAGGCGATCTCCCTGCGCTGCTCCCAGCTCCGCTTGGTCAGGATGTCGATGATGGTCTGTTCGTCCACTCCTGATTCAGGAAGAAAAGCAGCAGACAATCTGTAAACAGCCCAAAGCTCAGCCTAGAGACAGCCCAGTCCACCCTGAAGGCCTTTTCCTGGACCAGACCTTTGGTCTTGATGGCGGTCTCGATTCGGGCGGCGTCCTTGGAGGGGTCAAAGTCCCTGGCCGGCACCACGGTGGGGAATCTAGGCTCCGGCTCCTACAGGGGTGGAGGGGGGGGGTCAGGAAGACGCCGACAGGCAGCCCGTCATCATGCTGTAACATGTATGATGTATGTAACATGTATGCGGGTACGACCCGACTCACGTCGCCATATGCCAGCGTCAGCTGACCTAGAAATTCAGACACCAGCGCCATGTTGACTCCAGCTGGAACAGAGAGGTGAGGAGCTCAGTTATGGTATCAGAAAAGCAGCTCAATGATCCCCTCCCGTGCAGCAGAGGCCATTTGGCTAATGCTAATTCAGGTTTTCTTTCAGACAAATATCGAAGATAATAAGTGTGATGCTAAGTGAATTATATCAGTGATGCTAACCAAAGGATATCTGTGATGCTAACTGAATGCTATCTGTGATGTTGTCCCTTTGGATAAAAGCTCTGAATGCAGAAACATAAACACATTCTTTATTTCATGACCACACCAGAAGGCCGGTCTGTGATAGAAGAGGAGCTGATGCCCTCTGAGTCAGATGAGCCAGGAAACAGGCGGGCTGCACCTCTCGGTTTCCTCTGAGAGCAGACAGAGGCCGTCGGAGGCCTGATGTGTGGGTTTATTGGCCCTGGGCGCGTCCTGGGGAGGGGTGGCAGATAAGCAGGAATGTGTTGCATAACCCTCCAACTCAAAGTGCAGCACAAAACACTGGTGAGATTCCTGTGATTCACCTTTAACCCTCTAGGAACCCTGATTGTTCCGTCGCTTAGCAATAGCAGTTGCAAACAGACCAGGAGTGGCCGCATCCGACCCAACCTCGATCTAAGGCCGCCCTCCTCCTGCTGAAAGCAGCCTGTTAGCATAGCCTTCTTCAGCCTGTTAGCATACCCCTCTGCAGCCTGTTAGCATAGCCCTCTGCAGCCTGTTAGCATAGCCCTTTGCAGCCTGTCAACACAGCCATCTACAGCTTGTTAGCACAGCCGTCTCAGCCTCTTAGCATAGCCCTCTGCAGCCTGTTAGCATAGCCCTCCGCAGCCCTCTGCAGCCTGTTAGCACAGGTTTCCAGATGTTTGGAAACCTCTGGGCTGCCGGGGGTTAAAATCTCTGGCAGATGCAAACGTTTAGCAGAATCTGCTTTCGTTTTCAGTGAACACACATTTTGCAAACCCTCTCCTGCTCTCTGCCCCCCCTTCCTCCCTGCTCCCCTTAGAGTCCTCTACATGTGGCTGGAGCTGTTTGCTGTGATCCAATCAGGTATCAATAAATACTGACAGTCAATGATTAACAAACTGATTCTTCCCTGCAATCTCAGTCCTGGAACCCCGCCCATTCTTTTTCTCTGGATGCTTGTTAAAGGTCCCAAAAAGGCCAGAAGTGTGGAGCTGTTGGTTACTGATTTACTGATCATTAAATTGCCTGATTGATCAGTTAGTACTTGGTAACCAGGCGGGTCGGTAACCAGCCGGGTCGGTAACCAGGCGGGTCACTAACCAGGCGGCCGGTTGGTCATTAACCAGCCGGGTTGGTAACCAGGCGGTTCAGTAACAAGACTGGTCAGTC